AAGCAGAACAATGAAGTGGCATTCTTGTGAAAAAATATCTGGTTGTCATCCAAATATTTGCAAATAATTCTGATTGCAGAAGTCAGAATAAAGCAAACTGATTAAAGTATTTGTGAATACATTTGGTATTTTGTATTTTTTCAATAAATTCTGCTTAGCACCACACTTGGGCATTGCTCTGTGCAGAGAAGGGAATCTTATTTGCCATCCAGCATCACCAGTTTCTCACCCATTTGATCCTACTCGGTAGGATCCTACTCAGTCATGTACCATAGCAGCTTAGCTTTCCTTCATGTTATGCTCCATGAAGCTTTAACTCATTCTGATAAGAAACAAGATATCTAGAAGAAAGCAGGAAGGTCCAGCTAAAAATACAACTGAATTAAAAGCTCACTTTTGAATGCCTTTTTTGTTACTTAAGGTCTGCTTGTCAAGTGAGGTGACATTCAGCATTGAACTGGACCTCAGAATCTCAGTCTTAGTCATTTCTGCTTAATGCAATAACCTCTTGAATGAAATAGTTTATTTCCTGGCAAAGGGCTTAACAGAGAAATTAGACTGTGTTCTGGCATGGCACTTAAATTGGCTTCCAGAAAGCTTGTGATTATCTTCTGAAGCCAGCTGAGCCAAAAGTCTGTTCTTTGTCAGGGCTTCTTGGTCTGTTCTGTTCTTTCCATTCGAGGTGCGGCCTCCCCAGTGCCTAGTACAGGGGCAAAATCACTGTCCTGGTCCTGCTGGTCACACTATTGCTGATACAGGCCAGGATGCCATTGGCCTTCTTGGCCACCTGAGCACACTGCTGGCTCGTGTTCAGCTGGCTGTTGGCCAGCATCCCCAGGTCCTTTTCCTCAAGGCAGCTTTCCAGCCACTCTACTCCCATCCTGTAGCACTGCCTGGGGTTGTTGTGACAAAAGTGCAAAACCCAGCACTTGGCCTTGTTGAATCTCGTACAATTGGCCTCAGCCCATCAATCCAGCCTGTCCAGATTCCTCTGCAGAGCTCTCCTACCCTCCACCAGATCAACACTCCTGCCCAACTTGGTGTCATCTACAAACTGACTAAGGGTTCACTCCATTCCCTCAACCAGATCATCGATAAAGATGTTAAACACAACTCGCCCCAACACTGAGCCCTGGAAACACCACTCGTGACTGGCCAGCAGCTGGATGAAACTCCATCCACCACTACTCTCTGGGCCTGGCGATCCAGAAAATTTTTTACCCACAGTGCACCTGTCCAAGCCATGAGCAGCCAGTTTCTCCAGGAGAATGCTTTGTCAAAGGCTTTACTAAAGTATAAACATGTGATGAAAGAGATGTAAAGGCTTCCATTGCTGCTGGTTATGCAGTTCTGGTTTCTAATAATGTTTAAAAAGACCCATTATTCCATACACATGAGTTTGCAATGTGGACAACCTGACAGTGTAAAAGAGAAAATAACTTTCATTATCAAGACAATAAATCAATCACAAAGACCTATAGAATTACTTTCTTCTGTCCTTGATTTAGATCCTTTATACATGAAAGGGTAGGTCATCTCCCTGACATTCGTCTTTTAGTCTATTAGATTGGAAACATTCACAAATTTATAGAAAACACTAGGTGTTTTGAGGTTTGTGACAGACATTTCCACGTAGGGAAATGGGACTGCAAGTGTGAAACATTGGCCAGTTTTGAAATCATTGCAACTTGCAGAAGTGAGTCACTAGGAGATGAAAAACTTCAAATCCCTTTTTACTAATCACTTAACCTAATCACGCCCTTTCCTCTCTTGGACATGAATGAAAAAATTAATTTTCCAGAATGTTTTTAACAACATCTCCATCTAAGTATTTTTGCATATGTGGGCAAAACATGCAAAACAATTAAAGCAACAACAAAGAAAAGTCCAGAGGAATGTGAGCTGTTTTAAATGACCAAATGTCACAGAGGTTCCTTCTTGAAACTTATCACTTTGCTAGAGAAACAGACCCTTGCTATATTTTTTTTCATCCTCCTGGGGAACTAACTCTACAGCAGGAATACAAAATTGTTTCATTCTAGAGTGATCCATATAAGAAAAAGTTTACAGAAATAACTTTTGCTCTACTGATTAGAATCACAAAATGGTTTAGGCTGGAAAGGACTTCTAAGATTGTAGAGTCCAACTATTAACCCAGGGCCACTAAACCATGTCCCCAAAGTGCTACATCCACACACCTTTTGAATACTTCCACGAATGGATATTCCACCACTTTCCTGGGCAGCCTGTTCCAATGCCTGAAACAGGATTAACAGGATATTGAGTTAAGGGAAGAAAACAGCAGGAATCACTGCTTGCAGGGTGCCAGAAGAAAGATGCTTCAACCCTAATCTGAATTGCTGACAACTCCCAGAAAGTTCAGGTGTAGCTGGTCAGCACCAGGTTCCAAAGTTGAAGTCTACAGAGAAGTTACTGGTAATATGCCAGGAACTTGCTCTCCTCTCCCTTGCTTTCTGGCCGCTAAATTGCTTTAAAGGAGAAACTGAAAATACAACAAATGCTTCCTGATAAATATTTTTCCACATACATCATTTCTGCACTTGTCATAGGGCTGTTATGAGAGTGAAATGTTCTACCAGCCACCCTCTCTGCTAAGATGCCTGGCACATAATGACTGTTTGAGAGCTTGAGATTTGAATGCCAGTACATCCAAAGCAGAGGAAACCCATAGAACTTCATAGCTCTAGCTGGGATGTGGAAAAGCTTCCTGGTTTAAAAAAGCAATAATAATAAAAAAGCCTATGAAAACGGGTAATTCCACATTTATGCCTGGTGTTATGTGATCCTTCCTCCCTTTGAGGTACAGAGGATACCTTGTTCCACCTTCAGAAAACATCCGGCTCAGTGGAAGGAGGATGTTTGTTCTCTTCTTCTGAAGGAGTTTGAAGCAGAGCCCAGTCTGAGGGCCCCGATGAAAGGCTTCGTGATGCCACACTCCCTTGAGGAGATTGTGAAGGAACCTAATTTGCTGTGAGATACAAATGAAACTGTTCACTTGAACAGGCTTTTCCCTTTCGTGCGTAATGCAATCCTCCTTTTAAGCTGGTGGATTCCTGTCACCCAGTTTTGCTGAGGCACACACTGACTTGTTCAGCATATCCACTTAAAATGTCAAAAATATTGAGTGCCCTGACTAGCATGGCTGGGTTATTAGTAAATACGAATCACCAGAATTTGCAAGTTTGTTGGGCAAATTTTTGGTCTTAACAACATGTTTCTCAGCTGACAATCTAGGTGGATATTTTTAAGGCTGATGTCATTCTTTGGATTTTTATGATGACTGCAGAAGGTTTAAGAGGAGTTTACGTCTGTCTGTAAGATGTGGCTTACTTTTATCCTGGAAAAGAGGTTGGAGAACTTGCAAAAGTCTCACAAAATGTGAACAAAAGATGAGTCTTAGCAGGACAAAGCATTTTGTCCACTGTTTAAGCTAGAATTTTATTTTATTTCTGTTATTGCTACCCATTAACTCCAACTTCTGACACAAATCCCAAAGAAAACCATATCTGTTCCAGATTCCATGCCTTATATTGTTTTTGCTGAAAATGATGAAAAATTCTCTGCTGCCACAAAGAAGAAAGCTGATTTCCAGATTTTTAAAAGTTAAACCACAATCAAACAAATTGCCAAACAAATAGATTGCGATGCCTCTAAAAATACCCAAGTGAAACTATCTCTGTCTCAGATGCCTGGTTCCTATACTGTTAAAACCAGGACAGGTTATCTTTCTACACTGTATCGCTGTGAGAAGATCAGTGGTACTGTGTGTGTGAAATTTGCCCACAACTGCAATCTTATCTTTATTTAATAATTGGCCAACTGAGACCATGCTTGGTTGCTCTTAACATCAGTGATTCTGCTGAAGGGACTAAATAAACAGTTAAATGCTCAAAAGTGCTCATCCATAGCAAAACATCCCAATAGTCAGAATTACTTCAGCTTTACCGTAGCAGAAATGGAGTCAGAGACTTGTCCTGTATAATTCTCATCCTGTTAATACAAGTTCACTGAAGACAGCAGCTTCTGCCTCCAAATGCAGAATGGAAATAAAACAGAAATCTAAACTTCATGGTGTTTTTCAGACTATGTGTTTGGCTTGTAGTGGTGAGCCTCATGTCTGTACTCCACTCTGGTGACACCCTGTCTGAAGTACTATGTCCAGCCCTGGAGTCCTCAGTGGAGAAAGACATGACCATGTTGGAGTGGGACCAGAGGAGGGCCACAAAAGTTATCAGAGGGCTGGAGCACCTCTCCTGTAAGGAGAGGCTGAGAGAAGGGGTTGTTCTGCCTTCAAAGAGACTTTATTGCAGCCTTCCAGTAAAAGGGGGCTTAGGAGAAAGATGGAGAGAGACGTGACAAGGGCATGTAGTGCAGGACCAGAAGAAATGGCTTTAAACTGAGAGAGGGAGGGTTTAGATTAGATATTTGGAAAAAATTCTTTACTGGGAGAGTGATGAGGCACTGGCATAGATTGCTGCAGAGAGCCGGTAGATTCCCTATCCCTGGAAACATTCAAGGTCAGGTTGGATGGGGCTGTGAGCAATGTGCTTAGTGGAAGATGTCCCTGCTCATGGCAGGGGAGTTGGAACTCAATGGTCTTTTAAGATCCCTTCCCACCCAAACCATTCTATGATTCTATGATTGTACAACCTGTTCAGTAGATGCCAAATCCACTCCTTAGAAAAAAGTCAAACTGTTGCCATGCTCCACCACTACAGCCTGCTCCTGTAAAGCCACTTTGGAGTGATCCTGTATCTACCACAAAGCTAGAAAGGCTTAAGAGCATTTTTATCAATCAAACTCTTGTTTGTTAAGTAGTAAATTCAGTGGACCAGATTGTTTCAGTTCCAGCTCCAGTGGGTACAGCTGCTATTTGATCTTGGCATTTTAATTTCAAGCCTTGTTTTATCCATGTGGTGACATTTTTTTGTTTATTTGCAAAGAGCCCTTGTGAACACATCCACTGCTCCATTTGTGGGTAATTTCATGGTGTTCAAATACCTTAGTTTTTAATCCTCCTCTCACTGCAGCATGGGAAACTACAGAAAGCTGGTTCCACTTCTGACATACTGAGCAGGCACAGTCCACATCTGGGTTTGACTTCTTTTGATGACATTCAAGAAATTCCATTGCTAAAGGACTTCTGCAAGGAAATGGAGAAAAAAGTCAACATTTCATAATGCCTTGGTTTGGATGTCTTGGACCAGGGGAGCTCGTCAGAAATACTGTCTTTATTATACACGACATACTCAGATTCTTTGAGCTCCACTGATTTTTGGACCTACAGGGGTGACACAGGTGCGTCTCCTCTAAAAAGCTCAAGCCCAAGAGCAACTACAGCCAGTTTGGCCTCTAGCATAAATTAAAGCAAAGTCAGAGAGACATCAGCTCTGCTGCTCATTATTAGAGTAATACAACCTTACAAATGAATTTCAAATTTGCCTTTAAAAGAGTATTTATAAAGAGCATAATCTCATTCAAGTGGTATAAGAACATGTTGATAATAGCCTCTATACATTCTGTAGGATGAAAACAACTGATTAAATATCTTATACAAACATGCTCATAGCTTTGTTGTTTATCCATTGCAGAGCTAAAAAAATACTGTGCAAGAATTCACTTTAAATATTTCATTAACCTTCTTGACTCTGACCCACACGAGGACACATGCCAAGAAAGTAACAATGTATTTACATAGCAAGTACATGTCTATCCCAGTAATTTCTGAGCAGAGAACAAATAAATGTGGATTTTCCAGCTGTACCAGCTGAGGAAATTACAGACCCTCCTCCGTAAAACACTTAGCATCTTGTTAATTTTAATAGCTCCCAGGAAAAGCTTGAAGCAAAATAAATGACCCTTTCCCTTAATGAGAAGTTAGGGGCAGCAAATGAGCAAATTTGCATATGGGAAATACTTACTATTCACTAGCACTAAATGTTTCCTGTTCAAATTGGCAACAGAGAAGAATCTAATTCTCTGTAATGTTTTATTGAGGAGCTAGAAAGTTAATGGGGGAGGGAAGATACTACTCATGTCTACCTCAGGAAATAAGCTAAAGTCAGCATTGATAATTCTGCTGAAGCGCTCCAAATTTCCATAATAAATGCATTCTTATTTGCTTGCCTGAATCCACATCTAAATAAGACAGGTCTGAGGAGGGTTCAGGATTATTGCGCGTAGATTCTGATAATACAAACAAGTTTGCAGGGTCTTTTAAAACGTACATAATAACTATAAGGTCAAAGAATAACTTTGCCAAGATTTTCAAAAGAGTCTATGATTTTTGTTACTGCCCATTTACACTGAGACAACTGAAAAAGACTCAGTTTTACAGATGAGGAGCACAGTTTTTCCAAAAACAGACTTTCTGAGATATTTTGTGGAGGTCACTCAAATATTAGAGACTTTAGTACACTCAGATTATCCATATCTTTGGAAAATCTTAGCCACAAGGGAAGTGGCTCCTCAATAGTGTTATAAGCTGTATGAGATAACCAGCCTGGCTTTAGTTTTCTGGCTAGCTCATAATGCAGCCCCTTCTGAAAAAAAGCAGTGAAAACAAAGTTTGCTTGAAGCATTGCACAAGACTGTAGCACTAGGGAAGCAGAAAAATCTTATATTCCTCTCACTGTGTGACAAAATCTAACCGATAATGCCCAGATGTCCTCTTTTAGTGAGGAGAAGCTTCTCTAACAGAAGCTACCTCACCATTTTGGCAGCCATCCACAGTGTGTATTTTGTGTCCAAAGTTAGAGGAAAAAAGGCTATAGAGGCAAATGATTTTGCAGGAAGATTGACATGAAAAAAAAGAGGTCAGAGTATTTTTAACAGGAGCAAATATTTTGCACATTTTACCTTCAAAGGGCTGACTGAGGCTTTTGTTTAGTTTCTTTTGTACTTTGGCTACATCCCAGTGTATGATTTGCAGAACATGATCTGCCTTTCCTGTACCTATGGGTTTTTGGGTAGCTCAGGATTAGCATCTGTTGAAAAACATATTTTGGAGATCTCAAGGCAACATATTCAACTGCACTCACCAAAATCTTATGTTAACAAGATCAGTAGCAGTGTGTGAGTTATGTGACCCAGGGAATAGCTCATCTTGGGCACCTCATCAGTCATTAGCAGTGACTGGAAAAGCGATAGGGTTCCAACAGTGACTGAAGGTAGATACCAAATGTAAAAGCAACCAGAATTAAGTGGTTTAGGCTGGGGGGCTACCCCAACATAGCTTGGCCACTGTCCCTTTTGTCCCTGGGTCTTAGGGACTGGAATTAGCCCAGCTCTGAAACACCATCAAAGCACTCCCTCAGAAATTAAGGAGGGATGAAAAAACAGAGAAGGCAAAGAAAAGGAGAAGCCAAAGGACTACAGGGAACAATGACTGAAAAGAAGGAAAGGGATGACAACAAAAGGTTAAAAACTTAAGAGTGGAGAGGCACAAAGAGGAAAGGACTCCCAACAGTAGCAACACTCTGGTAAGCTGCTGGAACACCACTGCTATTCTGTACAAGGTCAAAAAGACAAACAAAGAGAAACCTCACAACTGGGGGGATCAGTCAAGCTCAGTCCTCCTGTTACCACAACTGACTGGCTTGGCCAAGGCCAGAAGGACGTAGGTGAGAAGGTCCCACAGTGTTGGTGGGGTCTTAGCTGGGACAAAAGTAAATAAAAATGTGAGAGGAAAAGTGCAGCCTCAAGAAGAGATTCTGTGGGAGAAGAAAGAGGGAATGCAGCCTGACAGGCCTTACCCAAATGTGTGCTAGCCCTCATCTTGCAACAAGGCATAATTATGCTTATGAGCTGCTCTGTGAACTTATTTCTGTCATAGAACCATAGAATCATAGAATGGTTTGAGTTGGAAAGGACCTTTGAATAACCTCTAGTACAAGCTCCCTGCCATGGACAGGGATGTCTTCTACTAGACCAGATTGCTCAAAGCCCTGTCCAACCTTGAACACTTCAAGAGATGGAGCAGCCACAACTTCTCTGGGCAACCTGTTCCAGTGCCTCACCACCCTTACTGTAAAAAAATTCCTTGCCTGAGTGAGATTTTTCCATTTTTTGTCTACAGTAATCAGTGGGATTAGATCAGAATATAAATTGGAAGACTGGATACCAGGCTAACTAAAATCAGTGAACAAGAAAACAGGAAGAGAAGAAGAAATATCACTCTCAGGACGGAACATGTTGGCTACTGATTCTCCTGGATATAGGAAGTGAAAGCACAGAGCTACATGAATGATGACTGGGCTCTCTTTGCATGTGTACTCAAGAGAGCTTGCCGTTGTGACCAGTACTGTTCTGGTAGTGCTGAGGAGTCAGGGATCCTGGCCACAGGGCTGTCCATGCTGTATACACCGGCAGGCCTTAGCTCTAAAGCCCACAATTAACAAGGAATAAGAAGACAGGAAACAGATGGGGAAACTTTAAAAGAAAATGATAGGTTAAGGAGGGAACATTTATCTATCTTGTCTCTGACATTTAGAAGACATCTATCACCTTGTTTTCTAAATCCCAAACAAATTTACAGAATTACAGAGTTCAGAGGAACAACGTATTTCTCTCTGCTCCTCTGGAATGACAGTGGTAGGTCAACTGAGTCTTAAAAAGGTGATGGATAGAGGCATCTCCTTCCTTTTCCAGAAACTGGAGCCTAGGACAGGCATCTGGATGGAGGAAGATCAGTTTGTGGCACAAATTTAAGTGAAAGAACACAATTTTTTTGCCATGTACTAGTTGTTTTAGAGACTCCTTCCGTTGATTTTTAAGTATAGGAGTTGCTTCATCTAACATAGAATTCATAATTCTCTTGGGAAATCCTATCCAGATCCCTCAAGCAATGCCTTGTCCTAAGGGTGAGAGGATGATACCTCTCTATCATTATGACATTCCCACTAGAATATAGTTTTCCTATTAAGTTAAAAGCCCTGTTTTGCCCCCCCACACACTTGGATTACATATCTTGTTCACTGCGAGTTACAGACTTTATGAATGCATTCCAAATTCTGTTTGATTTAATCAATTCAATTTTCTCTTTCCTAATGGATTGGCCTTTCCCTCTGTGAGCCAGGAACACTTCAGCTGCAGCAAGAGCAGGGAGGGCTCATTGGTGTTGTTAGCTAAACCAGAACAGGAATCACAGCAAACCTTCCACCATTCTGCTGTTCATGGTGTTTGTTCCCCATTCTTTACCAACAGCTCCTCCTCTCAAGGTCCACTTGAACTGAGTGAACTTTGAAGCCCTGTCACTTCATATAGCCACCTTGCTGTCCCTGTAAATATAGGCTCCTTAAAAATTCTGTGTCACTCACTGCCTCCTATTTCTGCAGTGACAAACTGGAACCTTCAGCTGAGACTGATGGAAAATTTATCTCATCACAAAGCCCCCTCTTACCTCTTTTTGTCATGTCCAGGATCTCCCAGAGACCCGATCTCCAAAGGTCATGGTAGAACTGCTTTTAACAGGCTCCAGGGAATAGTAGAAGTTTATCTCAGATTTGTCCCCACATCTTGACTTTCCTCCCCCACGTTCAGCCAGAATTTAATAAATTTGGCTCTTTTCCAAAAACAAAAACAAAGGAAAGAATATCACCTTTATTTCCATGTCTTGCTTTCTACATCAGTAGAGGAAGGGTAATAAAACACATTTGTGCAGCTCTGAGGGGTGTTGTGAGGGATAAATTAGTCTGTAACATATTCTGTAATTGTTCAAAATGCTATAATGGAAAGTGTGAGCAGCATGTGAAAAGGGGATCATCTTCAGAGCCCAAACGATGCTGAGCTGAAGCTTTACAGAAAGAACCATATTTAAGAACACCAGCACTGTGTACTGAGCTCACTTTTAATGATGATGAAAACACTGTATTGAGAAAAGCAGGGAAAAGCCACCACCTGTGCCATCCACATTGGCCTAAAGCTCTTCCTTTTCTCAAAAGAAAAATAAGTAATTGTGGAGGTGCAAGCAGTGCCTAGCTGACATGACTTTTGAGATGCAAGCAGGTATCAGGAAACCTGTTGTGCTGCTGTTACACAGCACAAACTGTGTGCTGGGTCTACGACCAGATGTGAAAGAGTCTGTGGGACTATGCAAAGGACATTAAAAGAGGCACTATCAACAGCCCAGATCTTAAAACATCA